ATGTTTCCCTTGCACATCGATGTTTCTCTCCCTCTCTTTCTCTCTCCCTCCCCCTCTCTCTAAAAGTAAATGAATAAAAGCTTTTTTAAAAAAGTACCCCACAGAGATCCCTAGCCTCTTCCACTATGTGAGGTTTTTTGAGGTATAATTGATACACAAAACATGCATTTAATACGTATGTATGCATAATGTATTTAATGAATACATTTTAATGTATACAGTTTGATGAGTTTGGACATATGCCATAATCAAAGTAATAAACATATCTATCACCTCCAAAGTTTCTTCCCATTCCTTTGTTTCTTGGGAGTTTTAGGGGGACCTTGGGTGGGGGGAGAGTAAAGAACGCCTAACATAAGATCTACCCTCTTAACAAAATTTTAAGTGTATAATAGTGTTGTCAACTACAGGCATTATGTTACACAACAGAGTTCTAGAACTGATTCATCTTTAATGCCTGAAACTTTATACCTGTTGAATATCACTTGTGGAACATTGTGAATATCACTCTGGCAAAATGTGAAACTAATCATGCTGTCCAAATCAGTCAGCTTCACAATGTGGGACATTTTTATAAGACAACAGGATTTCAAAATCATCAGTCATGCAAGATTCCCTCCCCATCCTCCCTCCCAAATTAAGGAGATTTTTCTAGATTAAAGGACACTGAAAGAGACGTGGCAACCAAATGTATATAAATGAAATTTGATTGAACTCTATAGATTTTGGTTTACAAAGCTGTAAAGAGAAAATTGGGGAAAGGATAGCATAGTTTTATCTGATTTAATTTGAATGATTTACTCCACGATAATAACTGCCTTGGGGTGAGACTGGCATCGTGGTCTTGTAGAGGATGCCTTTAGGGGATACATGCTTAAATATTGAAGGGGAAGCATCATGATGTCTGCAATTTTTTTTCTCGGAAACGTGATTTTTTTCTTTTAATATATTTCACTCATTATGCTATTACAGTTGTCCCATTCCCCCCTTTTATTCCCCTCCACCCTGCATACCCCCTCCCACCTGCATTATCCCCCTTTAGTTCATGTCCATGGTTTGTACATACAAGTTCTTTGGCTTCTACATTTCCTATACAATTCTTAACCTCCCCCTGTCTATTTTCTACCTACCATTTATGCTACATATTCCCTGTATCTTCCCCCCATCTCCCTGACCCCCTCTCCACTGATAATCCATGTAATCTTCATTCCTGTGATTCTGTTCCTGTTCTAGTTGTTTGCTTTTTTTTTTTTTTTTGAAGTTTGGTTGTTAATAGCTGCGAATTTGTTGTCATTTTACTGTATAGTTTTTATCTTCTTCAATTTCTTAGATAAGTCCCTTTAACATTTCATATAATAAGGGCTGGGTGATGATGAACTCCTTTAACTTGACCTTATCTGAGAAGCACTTTATCTGCCCTTTCATTCTAAATGATAGCTTTGCTGGATAAAGTAATCTCGGATGTAGGTCCTTGCCTTTCATGACTTGGAATACTTCTTTCCAGCCCCTTCTTGCCTGCAAGGTTTCTTGTGAGAAATCAGCTGATAGTCTAAAGGGAACTCCTTTGTAGGTAACTCTCCTTTCCTCTTGCTGCTTTTAAGGTTCTCTCCTTATCTTTGATTTTGGCTAATGTAATTATGATGTGCCTTGGTGTGTTCTTCCTTGGATCCAACTTCTTTGGAATTCTCTGAGCTTCCTGGACTTCCTGGAAGTCTATTTTCTTTGCCAGATTGGGGAAGTTCTCCATTATCTTTTCAAGTAAGTCTTCAATTTCTTGCTCTTCCTCTTCTCCTTCTGATACCCCTATGATCTGGATTTGGGAACATTTAAAGAAGTCCTAAGCCTCTCCTCATATTTTTTTAAATTCTAGTTTCTTCATTCTTTCTAGTTGGATGTTTCTTTCTTTCTTCCAGTCCACACCGCTGATTTGAATCCTAGTTTCCTTCCCATCACTGTTGGTTCCTTGTACATTTTCCCTTATTTCACTTTTCATAGCCTTCAGCCTTCATTTTTTCCTCTAATTTGAGACCATATTCAAACTATTCTGTGAGCATCCTGAGTGCTAGTGTTTTGAACTGTGCATCTGATAGGTTGGCTATCACTTCATTGCTTAGTTGTATTTTTTCTGGGGCTTGGATCTTTTCTTTCATTTGGGCCATTTTTTTTTTTTTGTCTCCGTGCAACTATCACATAGTTAGGGGCGGAGCCTTAGGTGTTCACCAGGGTGGAGCAACCTGTGTGGCTGTGCTGTGACACTGTGGGTGGGGGAGGGGTCTGAGAGGGAACAATGCCACTTGCTCTGCTCTCTACCAGTTTTCAGTCACTTTCCCCGCTACTCACAGTCAAATTGGGTCCTTCTGGTGATGATTCCTAGGTAGGTGGGTTTGTGTATATTCTAGGACTCCTGCAAACTCTCCTGTGAGGCTGGGAGTTTCTCCCACTGCTGTACCCCCCGCAAGTGTTTTCAGTCAGAGGCTTTTTGAGGCTTTATTTCCCAGTGCTGGAGCCCTGGGTTGCGTGGTCTATCTTGCTCCCCAGTTGCTCTTCCCAGTTTATCCGCACAAGAGTGTGGGACTGCCCACTCTGCCAGCTGCCACCTTGCCTCAAGTCCTCTCCGCCCGACTGCCAGTCTCCGCCCCTTCTACCCGTCTGGGCGAGTGCTTGGCCTTTAACTCCTTTGTTGTTGGACTTCCATACAGTTTGATTTTCTGTCGGTTCTGGTTGTTTTTGGTTTTTAAATTTGTTGTTGTCCTTCTTTTGGTTGTGCCAGAAGGCACAGTGTGTTTACCTATGCCTCCATCTTGGCTGGAAGTCTGCAATTCTTTTCCAATGGTTTAGCAAAACAAACAAATGTTTTTTGTTCCTCAATTTACAGTGGGGTTATGTCCTGATAAATCCATAATAAATTAAAAATGTCTTAGGTCGAAAATGCACTTAATACACCACACCTACCTAATGTCACAGCTCAGCCCAGCCCACGGTGACCATGCTCAGGACACTTACATTAGCCTCTGGTTGGGCAAAATCCTATTCCTGCTGCTGGCTAGCATGGGAGAGTATCTGACTGCATATTGCTAGCCCAGGACAAGATCCAAATTCAAAATTTGAAATATGTGTATCCCATTTGTACCATTATAAAGTCAAAAATCGTAAGTTGAACTATCAAAATTGGAAGTTGTCCGTGTATATTTGTATAAATATATTTGTATATATATAGATGTACAATACAGAATGCTAAAAACACGTGTGGCTAGGTGAAAGGTATATGAATGTTTATTATACTATTCTTGCAACTTTTTAGCTTTTAAATTTTTCAAAATAAAGAGGTGGGAAAAACAAACCACTCTCACTCCACATATGTTTCTCAAGCTGTTACCATTTTACATACTACTCACAGCAAAGATCCCTGGAATGAGTGTATGCACATTCCATGTGCTGATTAAATGTTTAATAACTGGCCCTCAAAACAAACCAAAAAGCTCTGTCAACTTCTGTGGTGTAAATACTCCCACCATGGCCAATTTCAAACTACTAATGTGGCACCATTAGACACAGAATTGGTAAGCAGTGCATGCAGCAGCGTAACATCATACAGTGTTTCCAGCCTACAGATGTGATATATGTAAACAACCTCAGCAGTATATATAGTAACATGTAGTAAGATAATTAGGAAGTGTTGAGTTTTGAGTATTTATTACCTTTGTTTTAATATAATTCATTTGATCATAAGTTTATACAATCAATTTTTAAATAATGGCTGTGTTTAGCAACTGGCTTCAAAATTTCTAAAAAATTGACAGTTGTTTCTCACCAACCAGTACAGCATATCCCTGTAAAAACAAAAACAAAAACAAAAAACTCAACCACTGAAACCTGGCTTCCACAGCACTTTTCAACAAAACCCTCTTGCTCACCCCACCAAGGACCTCCATATTGTAAAATATAAGGATGGTGGATACAGCTCTGCCTGGCCTGCCTTGCCTGAGTTATCTCAGCATTCAGCACTGTTTATCCCACCTACCTTCTCCAAGGCCCTCTAGGTTTTCTTCCTACCTGTTGACAAGTCCTGCCCTGTCTCCTTTAAGGGCTCTTCTTCCTCCACCTTACCTTTGACCCTTTGATACCTTTGACCCAGTTTGACACATTCTCCGTGGGTGCCCTTGTCCAGCTCCATGGTCCCAACTACAACTAAGAAGCCCAGACCTTGTCAGCTAGTTTGCTCCTCTTGGAATGAAGACATTTCAAAGCCAGAGTGGAGTTTGCACCCCTTGCTCCCACCACGGGAGGAGCTCCGGAGGGACAGCGAACGCAGAGGAGTGTCTGTCTGTTCACTTACTTTCAAGTCCCTTACCACAATTTAATAATGCAAAAGGCTTCAGTAGGGCAAACGCAACATACATTAACTCCTCCAAGTAGTAGCTGGGTGCTGATGGGACACAGGCCCAAACTTCTTTAGTGCAAGGTTTGTCACTTCACACTGAACCGATGGAGGGAGGAATGACCCACACCAGCCTGGTCTCACCTTCCCCTTCTTGTTTGGACCAAAACCATCAGGAGCTTTCCCAAAGTACTGTATACTAAAGTGGGCTCATTCACTCATGTTCTTGGAGGAGTGATTCATGAGTGAATTACCCGTCTGGCAATCACTGTCAGCCGACTGAATCCGTTCTTGTGGTGGGTGGGTCGTTCGGTCTACCAGCTCTCCCCGCTGCGGGAACCCTGCCTGTTCTGTGGGGAAATCACCGCTCTTACAAACTATGAGCCCTCAGGCTCCGCCCCTTAGTAGTCTTATCCAATCATAGATCTCTGCCTCACAGGAGTTCCCGCCCTTCGGATCACATCCAGTTACAGGCCCAGCTCTCTCCAAATCCTGTACTATCAGACGCCTAGCTCTCCAGGAATTCTTCGCTTCCATTAAGCGTAGCCCTATTGGAGATCTCTCTCCAGGCCCGCCTTCATTGGGAGTTCTACCCAATCTGAGAGCTTTTCTCCTCTCAACCCTGCCCCCCAGGGCCTCCAGCTCTTCTCAGGCCTCTAGCGTTCCTGGCAGACGGAATGGATGACGCCATCAAGCCGCGCGGGAGGAAGGTCACAAGGGATCCTCCAATATGGCGGTGGCGGCGCTGAGGAGAGGCTGGTGCTGCTGCCCGACGGTGAGCGGATCCGTGGGGGCGGAGGTGGGGAAGGAGGCTCGCCTTAGGGAGCTCGTGGCCCACAACCTCTAGGCTCTCTTTCTTCTCAGGTCTTTGGCCCTGTCGGCCCTTCCCTGGTCTCGGCGATCTGGGACAGGGGGCTCAGAGTGAGGCCTGAACGTGGGCTCCGAGCGTGACCGGCTGGGGTGGCTTTGCGCGCGGCTGGGCTGGAGCGGATCGCTACCCCTCGCCTCCTGGTCAGATCTCACGGGGTTGACGCCTTGTGGAGAAAAAGTAGCAAGGAGAAGACAAAATCCGTGACAGTTATGGCTTACGTTTATATGCCAGGTCTTCTACCGAGAGCATTTCCTGTATTGCCTCTCCTATCCGCCCGTGGGAGGTAACTCTTGCCTTAGTTAAGAACTGTCTCAGATTTGCGATGGGGGTTAGGTGTGTAAAATTCACTTAAAAATAGTACTTTATGTTGTTGCTTATCAGCCAGGTTAATCAACCAGCCCACAGTCTCGGAGCTAGTGGGGTGGCAGACCCCCCATCCAAAGCCGAGGTCTTTGTGGCTCCAGAGGAAGTCTGGAGGAAGGAAAATAATTCATTGGCATCTGAGTGCTGAGAAAGAAGTTGTCTTTGACCCTGGGCTGATTTTTTTCTTGACTGTTGCCTTTAGTCAGCGTTGAGAGATTGAATTTGCATGTGTTTGAAGGAACCATCTTCAGGTTTAGTCTGTTAGGGGATTTTTGTCCCAAGTTAGAGAGCCATCATCTTCTGTTTCAGACTGCCGAAGTCAGTGGCTCTAGGATCCATGAGTGTAGGCGCATAGAGAAGTCATACAAGTTATTTAAACTCCCAAGCAATGACTCTAGAACAGATATAGAAGATCGTGGCATCTGTTTAAGTTTGGGATGTTGCCTAGGGTGTGAAACAGGGAGAAGAAAGGCCCAAGGAATGTGGAATTGGAAGGCTGGTTCTATCAGGTCATTGACCATCCACGTGCCTGGCTCCGTGCTGGGTGCTAACATGCAGCATTGAACAGGACCAGCACAGGCCCTCTGTCACGGAGCTTAATTATTTGGTAAGGGAAGAAATGCCTTACACATGAAGTTAGCAGCATCTTTGCCCAAGTTGCCCTGCTTGCATCCTGACCCTGGACGAGGACATGGTAGGTTTATTCCAGGGTTGTGCCTGGTACAATGAGTTACCAGTGTTTGCCTCTCATTGCTCAGGTCTCTGGTCTTACAAGGCCAGCAGAACTGGGGTGGGCTTGTGAAAAAAGACTGCTTGCCACCTGTATTGAGGCTCAGCCTGCCTCAATAGTTTTCAGACTAAGGAATTAAATTGGGGATTTATCCTTGTTCCACCATAGGTTGCATTTCCTGGGACCCATCTGTTGCCCCCTGTTCAGAGGCAGGAGGGAAGATATGGGCCCTGGAGGTGGGGATCCATTGTTTTCTCTTTCCACCAGATTTCACTGGCTTCTCAGAATTTGGGAAAATTGTAGAGTATTCAGCAAGCTATAGGCATATGGTAAAAATTGGCAAATGAGTATCAGGTGACTCCTGTTTTTTAGTGTGGTCTACTTACTGCCTAGTCACCCTCTTATTTGAATGGATCTTTCTCATTTCTCCCCCAATTAGAGATGCCTTGTCAGTGGAGTCCAGTTTCTATCCAGCCACAACCTTGTGCCACTACCCCGTGGTACCTATCAGATACGCCGGCCAGATGGAGAGCTGCCCCTGGTGAGTAACTCAGGACATGAGCAAACAGACAGAAGGGGGAAGCCTGAAAAATTAGAACCAGCTGACAGGAGAGGGCTCCAGGATGTTGCCCATGCTGCAAATAGCATCTGATTGGCAGGCATTCCATGTCCAAGGCCTTTGCACTTACAGAGCCTGGTGTGCCTGGTCTTCTCTGTATCCCCAGAAGTACTGGGCATGGTTCAGGGTAGGAACCTTACCTCATAGAGTAGCACGTTGTCAGGCATCCCCTGTGTCTTCCACCAGTGGGTCCTTCACGGAACAAGGCTGTTCCCTTTTCTAGGTGACTGCCCTGTAAGTGCTTAAGCAGAGTGACCCAACATAGCCTGGGGTTCAGCTTCCCAGGCTGCCTCTTCCCAGCCTTTATGTTGTTTCAGACAGGTAGCATTTTTCTAGAGCTTTTGCCCTCTCCATTATCTGTCTTTAACCACGCTTCTGTGGGTGCCTCACCACCACAAGAGGAAAGCCCACCACCTGCTACCCTTCCCCAGTCTGCAGCTGGGGGCCCACGCTCCCTTTCCAGCCTCATCTCAGCTGTGTCTGTGCAGGCAGCTAGGACTTGGGCCTGCCTGTCTCATTCAGGCTTCATCTTCCAGATCCTCTCCTGGGGCTTACCCATGCATGGGATAGGCTCTGTGGCCCATCCCCTTAATTATCCAGTGTCCAGTACCACTCACCCACCTATAGTTTGTAGCACCTGAATGAGTGGCAGGCCTGTTGCAAGGTGGCATGATCTCTAATAGTCTTAGAGCTCGGAGTCCCCTGGAGAGAAAGTCTGGCCAGGGTGCATCTAGAAAAGAGGGCAGCCTGCTAGCAGCAGGCCTGGATGCCCCTCTTGTGGAGTAGACCCTGGGCCTGTTGAAACTTTCCTTGGGGCTTGATGGGTGGGGAGGCAGCAGCTCTTGTAACTGGTAAAGTGGGCCCGCAATCATGGCAGCATGCCCAGCACAGTGTGGGGAGTGACGGGAACAGCCGAACGCACACAGCTACTTCACTGTGACTTGACTCTCATGGTCACTCTTGACGTACTCTCTTGCTCTTAGTTACATAGGTGCCAAAGCAGGGATCTAAAATAGGCCCTGGCTGACCCCGAAGCCTGTGTCTGGTTTTCTTTTGGTTTGTTTATTTTTTTTTTTTTTAATTGATTTTAGAGAAAGAAAGGGGAGCGAGAGAGATAAAGAGAAAGAAATACTGATTCGTTGTTCAACTTATTTATGATGTGTACTAACTGGGGAATGAAACCTGCAACCTCTGCAGCCTTGGTATATTGGGGCGATGCTCTAACTAACTGAGCTACCTGGCTGAAGCCCATGTCTTGAGCAGTGTATGGCACTGGTACTTGTGCCTGGAGCAGGGTCTCTTCTGGCCTCCCTGGCCTCTGGTCTCTGGCCCCTGGGTGTGTTGGGTTTTCTGGTGGAGGGGAACTCTGAGCTTGAGCTCTTGGTGATTGTGATCCTGTGGACTGAGACAGGGAGGTTTGGACCAGTCCCCAGGCCCCTGAGTGACATGTAAGTCCCAATTGGAGACTTGGTAATGGCTCCCAAAGAAGAAGTTACCTGGCCCCAAAAGCCTGGGGAGCAGGACCCTGTGACAGCTTCTTTGGGATGAGGGGCCACAGAGTCCTTTCAACTCCAGTCCTGGGGCAAGGGCCCCTTTAGTGTTGACTTTGGCCTTGGGTGAGCATGTTGGAATCCTCATGATGATTCCAGGCTGATTCCAAGAACACCTGGTTCTTGTTGCATGTTTCCTCTGTTGGAAAAGGAGCCTGGCATTTTGTTATGTTTTTAATAGACTTCGTTTTCAAGTTTTAGATTTACAGAAAAATTGAGCAGAAAGTACAGAGTTGCCATATACCTCCTCTCCCCATCAGTACACAGTTTGCCTATTACTCATGTCTTGCATTAGAGTAGGATGTTCGTTGAAACTGATGAGCCAGTATGGATGCATTATTAACTAAAGTCCATAGAGCACACATTAGGCTCACTCTCTGTGAGTCTGTGAGTTGTGCATTCTGTGAGTTTTACAAATACAATGATGTGTATCCACCAGTATAATATTATACAGAGTAGTTCCATTGCCCCAGTAGTCCTGTGGGTCTGCCTCTTTTTCCCAGATCCCAACCTCTGGCAACCACTGATCATTTTACTGCCTCCATAGTTTGGCCTTTTTCAGAATTTCATAGTTTGGCCTTTTTCAGTCTGAAATCAGACTGGCCCCTTTCACTTAGTGACGTGTTTTTAAGGTTCCTCCATGTCTTACCATGGGTTGGTAGCTCATTTCTTTTTATTGCTGAATAATATATACATTGTTGTCTGGATGCCTCACAGTTTACTGCCCATTGCCTTTTCAATTTGTTTTCATGGTTAAACCTGTGGAAACGAGAAAATTAAAAATTCTTTATTGCTTTTACATCTTTTCAGTCCAAATCCTATTCTTCTGGAAACAGAAAAGGCTTTCTCTCAGGCTTGTTAGATAATATCAAGCAAGAATTAGCCAAAAACAAAGAAATGAAAGAAAGCATAAAAAAATTCCGAGACGAGGCCCGGAAGTTGGAAGAGTCGGATGCGCTCCAGGAAGCCAGAAGGAAATATGTGAGTCCCTTTGCTTCAAGTCTCCCTTGCTGGGACACTTGCCTTCAGAGCTGGGATCTTCCTGGTCCCAGACAGTACGGAACTCAGGGCTGGTGCAAAGGGGGTCAGTGGCTTGTGAGGAGGTGAGGTCACTCACGGAAGATAGCTACCTGGGCCCAGCTCTCCAGTTCGGCTGTGTGACAGGGTGGCACCCTCTGTGCCCCATCTGTGCTGGCCTCTGGGAACCTATGAGAAACATAGGGCCTCAGAGCCCACTCTGCCTGCAGTCAGAATCTGAGTCCCCACTGGCCCCTGTGACCCCTTGAGTACTGGGTTCGAGGTGAGCTGCTCCTGAAAGCCTCCTAGTCATGGTCCCCTGGGCCAAATGGGCACTACTATAGTTACTAACTGCCACTGCCACCTCTTATCAAGTAGCTGCCAAGCACCCACCACTGTGCATGGGGGCACACGCACTGGCCAGGTCCTTTGGTGTTCTCTTGGCTCCCCTCCTGGGCTGAGTTCATGCCCTGTTCCCTCTGAGTGTCCCCAAGTCTCTCACATGGCTGTAACCACTTGTGAGGGGATTCCACCCAATGGAACATCACCCTTCATTTTCATTAAGGAGGGGGTGGGCTGGGGGTCCTTTGGGGATAGAGCATGCTGAGGTTGGGTGAAGTGGCTAGGGTGTGGGAGACGTCACAGCAGCTGGTGACCGGGTGGAGGGCAGGGTGAGGCAGGAGAGTGCTGAGAAGCTGGTAGGCAAGACCACCCCCTGCCGACCAGAGAAATCCTGGGCCAGGGTGCCTTTGCTCAGGAGTCTTGGTCATCCTTAGCTGCGGAGACCCACAGGCCAGGCAGTGGGGCAGTAAGGGGCTCTTGGGATGGGGAAGAGGGAGGCAGCATGGGGGTAGTTTGAGGAGGAAGGAGCTGCTGAGAAAATGCTTCTTTGGCCCTTTGGCTGTCTGGTAACTACTGTGTGGTAACAAAAGGAACCAACATCCTTTACTATAGAAAACCATTGAATCCGAAACTGTGCGGACGAGTGAAGCAATCAAGAAGAAGTTGGGAGCAATCACCGGCACTGTGAAGGAGGTAATGGCCTCTGGGTCCCCTCAGTTTTCTGGCAATAGCTCCCAGGGCCCATCTGTGCCTCACCTCTGAGGAGGACATTGGTGCTGGCAGCCCTGGATGAGCAGACATGAGCTCAGGGCAGGGTGGCTAACAAGGGAAGAGCCAGCCTGGCTTGGAAGCTTCCAGAGTTCAAATACTCAACCCCTGAAAAAGGAGGGGAAGTCAGACTTGCCCACCTGCAGGGCAGTTTACTCCTTAAGATAGAAGTGGGCGTCCACCAGCCAGGACACTGGGATAAAATGAAGGTTTTTGCCACTTACCTAAAAATAGAAGGGGTGAGAACGGCTCTCCCTGAGGAGAGGGCAGATATGGAAGTGAGACCCCCTGGATGGTGTGAGAGCTTTTCTTCTTGTTGCTTCTGTTGTTCTTGTGGGCAGGAGAAGAGGGGCAGGTCTTCGCAGAGTCTGGGCACACCTCACCTTTCTTACACCTGCTCCTGGGCTACTGCCCCTGTGGCATCCTGTGAAGACTCCAAGCTCCTTCCCATTGTGGGCAAGGCCAGTTGACCAGGGTCCAGCACCCCAGAAATTGTAGGCAGTGTTCTTGAACATGTGTGCCTGAGCCTTGGGGCCTCAGGAGCCAGATGAGTTCAGAGTGCTGGTTCCCACCCACCCTTTGGAAGCCAAGGACTGGCCTTAGTTCCGGGGAAGCTCCTGTGAGTCCCTGAGAGAGCCTGTGCTGACACCCTCACCCTTTTCTGTCTCAGTAGAGTCTGGATGAAGTCAGTAAAAGCGACCTTGGCCGGAAAATCAAGGAGGGTATGGAGGAGGCAGCCAAGACCGCCAAGCAGTCAGCCGAGTCCGTGTCCAAGGGTGGGGCCTTCAGAGCCCTCTCCCAGGTGAGTTAGATGCTGGGGCCTGTGGCTGAGGACACTCTGGGCTCTGGCCCTCTCTGAAGCTCAGAGCAGAGTTCCCCCCTTGGAGTTCAATCCTAGAGAGCACTGGCTGCACTGAGGGGGTGCAGTGGGGCTGTGAGAAGGGTCCACCCAAGGGGCAAGGTCCTGCTCCCTCCTGGTTGGGTGGCCTTGGGCAAGTCACAGCCCCTAGGGGGCTACAGGTTAATATGCTGAGAGCCTTTTGCCCACTCTTAGCTGCCAACACCCTGATCTTAGGCCCATAGCCCAGAGGTCCATCGTGCCGAGGGTGACTCAAGGTCCTGAACTCATCCCAGTAACACTTGTTGGACCTTAGCACACGGCAGGCCCTCTACTGTCCGTGGGAGCCACAGGAATAAAAATCCAAGTTCCTGCTCTCAAAGGGTTTTAGGACAGGAAAGGGGACAGGCAGTTCCTGAGTGACATGTGACAGGAGCACACAAGGGAAGGGGCTACAGGCAGAGGGAGCAGGTCCTGCAAGCACTATCAGCCTGGGGTACGCCCCCCAGCCTGGCACAGCTGGGATGACCGCAGGGGTCAGAGGGAGGCTGAGGCGCAAAGGAGGGACCGTTGGCATGGCCCTACAGGCTGCTCAGTGGACCTCTGGTTTCCTTCCAAAAGTGACAAGGAGCCAAAGAAAGGATACAGGCAGAGCTTAGAGATACTACAGGCTCAGCTCCAGACCATTGCACTAAAACGAGAACCACAGTAAAGCCAGCCACTGAACTGTTGTGGTTTCCCAGGTCATATAAAAGTTACGTTGCACTGTGCTGTAGTCTGTAAGCATGCAATAGTATTGTGTCTAAAACACAGTGTACATACCATAATTTAAAATGCTTGAGCCCTGGAGGTTGCAGATCAGTGGGTTAAGCACTGGCCTGTGAACCTAAAGGTTGCTGGTTCAATTCCTAGTCAGGGCAGTTGCCTGGGTTGCAGGCCAGGTCCCCAGCCTTAGCCGAGGGCTTGTGAGAAGCAACCATCTGTATATCTCTCCTTGTCTTTTTCTCCCTTCCCTTCTCTCTAAATCTAAACAAACCAAAAATAGTTTTCTGCTAACAAAAAATGCTGTCCATCCTCAGCCCTCAGCAAGTTGTAATATTTTTGCTGGCAGAGGGTCTCACCTTGAAGTTGTAAAAAAAAGCAGTGTCTGTGACTGCAGTAAAATTAGGAGTGCCTGTACTGGGTGTAGGAGAGTCACAGCCATCCGTCTGGGCTCTGGCAATGGCACAGAGGAGGCCTGAGAGTGTCTTGGGAGGCCCTAATGTGGCTGCCCTTGGTGGGGGGGTTGGGGGGATGCAGGGATGGGTTCCAGAGATTTAGGAAGGGCGGCCTACAGACTCAGTCCACTCTAATGGGAGTGTGAGGCATTGGTAGAACTTAGAATACCTTGGGTTTCCAGGGAGAGCGAGGTGTTGGTCTTGAATCTGAGGGTCACTTGGGGGCTGGGGAGGTATGTCTGCTGCTCCTGGATTGGGGTGGGGTGTGGAAGTCAGGCAGGACTGGGACCTCCCTAGAGGGCCAGGCCTGCTGTTGCCCTGCACCAGGCCAGGTGAGTGCTCTGGGACAGGTGACCAAAAGACTTGGGGAAGGCAAGGCCTCAGAGTACTATCAGGCCCAAGGTTGGGGTTCACAGCAGGCACCCCCCAACTCCAGGCACAGTTGCATCAGCTGATACTGTCTGGGGGTATCATGAAGGTCCCTAGTACCCACCCTTAGCTTTATTCTCCTCCAGGGGGTGGAGTCAGTGAAAAAGGAGATTGACGAAAGTGTGCTGGGCCAGACTGGACCCTACCGCAGGCCTGAACGGCTCAGGAAAAGGAAGGAGTTTGCTGGAGAGAAGTTCAAGGAAGAGAAAGTGTTTGAGCCCAATGAGTAGGTACCAGGCCGAGTGGGGATCTCTTCACTGCCTCCCTTTCAGGCTGCCAAAAGTCCCACCCAAGTCAGTTATCGAGTTTGTTTCCTGCTTCAGGTTCCCTGGCTCTCCTGAGACAATTTGGGGGAGAATAGGTGGTGGGAAGGGCAATAGAGAAGGCAGGAAGCTGAGAGACAAGGGCAGGGTCACCTCAGCCCCTGAGCTTGGGCCATCCTGCTGTCCCCTCCCTGTAGTAGTGGGCCTAGACCCAGTGGCTCCCCAGCTGCTGCTCACTGGCCACCCCATCTTCCCCAGGGAGGCCCTGGGGGTCGTGTTGCACAAGGACTCTAAGTGGTATCAGCAGTGGAAGGACTTCAGGGACAACAACGTGGTGTTCAACCGTGAGTGTTAACATTGCCGACACTTGGCTCGCAGCAAGGCCGTGACAGGGGACACTTACTGAGCACTCCCAGGGCTCTGGGCACAAGCCAGACCCCCGTTTTACAGAGGAGGAGACTGGGATCAGAGAGGACCACTCATTTCTGCATGGTTACCCAGTGAGTGGCCAGTGGGTGGGCACATTGCTCTCAGGGCTGGTGGCCACAGCAGGGTGGCCAGGTGCAGTGGCTATGCATTCCAAGAGATGCTCTCTCATCAGGGAGGACGGGAGGACAGGAATTGGTGCTTGTAGAGCTAGAGCCTGCTCGGGCCCTGGAGTTCTCTGCTCTTGCTGGGGTGGGGACCCTCCCAAATGCTGACAGAGGGTAGGTCTGTACCACCTAGAGGCCTGAGTTTCCTAGTTTGCACATTCCCTGAGGCTCACAGTTGAGCAGCCTCTGCAGCCCCTGAGGCCAGTTGGCCTCTGACTCCGTACCTAGCTGAGGAAGCCGGCTCAGAGAGGTCCTCTCACTCACCCAGCCTCTGTCTGGAGCAGTCATGCTGGGACCACAAGGAGCTTACAGAAGTCAGGGGTGAGGGGCATGTTTCCGGAAGGGAGCCCTGACTCCTGCTTCTCTCCTGCAGGGTTCTTCGAGATGAAGATGAAATATGATGAGAGTGACAACACATTCATCCGAGCCTCCCGAGCACTGACAGACAAGGTTACAGACTTGCTGGGTGAGTGGGTAGCTCCAGGACCATCTTACCCCACACCTGCACCCCTGGGCTGGCAACAGGGTGGAGTTTCGCCCCCTTGCCCACTCCTGCCTTGGCTGCCCCCAGGAGGCCTATTCTCGAAGACAGAGATGTCAGAGGTGCTCACGGAGATCCTGCGTGTGGACCCTGCCTTTGACAAGGAGCGGTTCCTGCAGCAGTGTGAGAGTGACATCATCCCCAATGTCCTGGAGGTGGGTGCCAGACCCCAAAGGCCACTCCCTGGGGCCCTCTCTGCCCTGCCTCTGGGGCATCACCAACTTTGAGACCAGACTGGAAGTTCCTCCAGGGATGTTTGGCCAAGGGGGGTGTTTTCTCGGCAGAGGTAAAGCTTCAATCCTCAGAGCCTGAGCACCCCAACTCCCAGGCCCTGTCCATCAAGTACCTCTGAGAATGCACCTGTTGCCTGTGACCCCTCTGATCCCAGTGGTGCTGGCTCTGACCCATGCTGTCAGTCCACCTCTGGGACTGAGTCCCTCTTCTCGCCTCTTGTTTCCCCCATGTTCTCTGCTTCGAGCTGTTCCCTTGTGGCTACCAGTGCTCAGGCGTTCGTGTTCCAGGTGCCAGAGCCTTTCAGGAGTCAGGAAGAGGCTGGCTGCTGGCCCTTGGGGAGAGCTGTGAGGAGGGCCTTGAGGGTGCACAGAACTCAGGCCAGATGCTCAGGCAGGGGTCAGGACCTGGGCCACTATCACAGAGGGGCTCTCTGCCCTCTTCCCTCACAAGCCTCTCTGGGAGCCCTGAATCCTGTTTTCTGGGCCCCTGACCCTTCCATTTGGCTCAGAAAGGAGAAGGCCACTTGCTCAAGGTCCCACTTTTTTTGTTTGTTTTTTTTTGTTTGTTTGTTTAACGATGACAGGATATAGTACACTTACAGATTTGTTGTTGGGGGTTTGTTTGTTTTTAGATTTATTTATTTTTTGAGAGGGAAGGGAGGGAAAAAGAGAGAGGGAGAGAGAGAGAGAGAAACATCAGTGTGTGCTTGCTGGGGGCCATGGCCTGCAACTCGAGCATGTACCCTGACTGGGAATCGAACCTGTGACACTTTGGTTTGCAGCCCGCACTCAATCCACTGAGCTACGCCAGCCAGGAAGGTCCCACTTTCCATGAAGCCCCTGCCCAAAGCTGCCTTTTCTCTGCCCAACCACAGCCCCAAAGACATGGCCAAAGCCTCAGCAACCTCTAGCCCAGGCAGCCCAGGCCTTCAGGAGGCCCCTAGTAGGACAAAAGAAAAGCTCTTGACCCCAGGTGGATGCCGGCGCCTCTGCTGGCCCCCTTCCTCCTGCCAGCCTCCATGTGGTCCCCTCTCCATCCTGATTGCCTGGGTCCCTCATGCCACTTTGGGCAAGGCTGGGCAGAGGTGGGAGTGGGGCAGTTCCTGAGAGCAGCAGCCTAGGCTTTGGCAGTGCCCTCTGGGGTGAGGGTAGCCTAGCACCAGGCCTGTCTGTAGTTTCCCACAGGTACCTGGCCCTCATCCCCTCTCTGGGCTCCTCCCAGATGTTCCCCAGACCCAGCCCTGACTCCAGGTTCCTGTGGAAGCATCCCCACTCCTGTTCTGCTCCCTGGCCATCCAAAGGTTCATCTCCAGGGGAGGCAGAAAGCTGCTTGTCACCTCCTTGGCTCAGTGTCCCTGCCAGGGTGACAGCCTGGTATGCTGCCACCTTCCTCTCTTACCAGGCCCTTGGGCACCCACCCTAGGCCACCCAGTAGTCACACCACAGGGGCTTTTCTCCCAGGGCCCCCCCTACTACAACCTGACTCAAGCCACACACACGCCCCCTTCCTTCCTCAACCAGAACCCGCTGGCAGAGGGGGCGGGGAGGGATGTCTACAGAGGAAAGGATCGAGTTTACGTTTTTTCGTATTTCCCTTTTTAGGCCATGATTTCTGGAGAGCTTGACATTCTCAGAGACTGGTGCTATGAAGCTGTGAGTACTTTCTTTTTTTTTTTCTGTTTAGGCCTAAAGAGAAATCACAGTTTGGAGATCTGATTGGATAAGTGGTCTGGAAAGGCCATGATAGGGCCTGGCGTCCTAATCAAATGGGAGTTCTTATGTCTGACTTGGTCTCGGGCACAGCCCCTTCTGCCCCTTCTGCACATTAATGCAGTAGACTGGGTGCCATGTACCCACAGGACTCTCTGGGGTCCAGGTGGCTGGTCCTTCCAGGCTAAACCCTTAGTTAGGGATGGTCCTTCTAGCTCGCTCTTTCCTCCCTCATTTGGCCTAAAGGATGGCTTGGGGCTGAGCTGGGCCTCCTGCTTTGTCATGCAGGACCCTTTCTCTGCCCTGATGCTGGTTAAGGAGGCTCATAGAGCAGAAGAGTGATCCTGGGGAAAGCATCTGGGTGAGATGAGGTTTCAATGTGGCCTGTTCTGTTTCAGGTGGCCTTAAGTGACAAAAAGCAAGGCCCCATAGCCAGGTGGGCTGGGGGCCCAGGGGTCAGATGGAAAGGGACAATGATTAATTCTCGAGTGCATTAGATGTTCCCCCAGAGCCCATGGGTGCTGGGGAGAGAGCAGTTGGAGGCCCCAGTGGCCTGCATAATCTCCCTTTTCTAAGCCATAGTTCTACGTTTTCCATCTTGTGGGTACAGCATGAACACAGAAGTGATGTTTCAGGGTGCACACAGCACTAGGTGGATTCATTAGCTAGTCTTCCTTTGATATCCCAGAACACAGCAAAACAGACTGAAACCAGAAAAGACACTGGCGTTTGTGCTGCCTGTCGCATGCCAAACGCAATAAACAGAAACAGGAATCAGATCTTTATGGGCACTTTATTCGGATGGCCGGTGATCTGAGAAGATAGTGGGTTTGCACCCTAACAGACCATCTTATATTTTTTTTCTAAGCCAACATTTTTATAACGGAATAAACAAAGTGCAGTGAGGGGTTTGAAATTCAGGGAGAATTAGATGAAAGAGACAGCAGCATTCTTGTCCTGGGCAGTTAGCTGTTCCCAGGAGAGGGTGGTCGACTCCTCTCCCTGGAACACAATGGCCTGGATGCCTCTGCTTGTCCCCAGGCAGTAATCTTTGTTGGTGCCCCAGGAGGTTGGCTGTCTCTCCCAGAAGCCAGGATGGGCCTTATCTATAGTTTCTGGAACAAAAACTTTAACCATATGCATTACCTACTAGGCTTATTAACTACCTTAAACTAAAATTTTTCAACTCTTGAGTCCCCTATCAAGATGTTGATGAATTTCCTGCCTAGGGAGGAGCCATGGGTCCTGATGAGGCCCCAGTGCTCCCCAGGGTCAGGGCTTGGGGGCCCAGGGCTCCAGGCAATGCTAGACTGTGAGGAGCCGGTCAGGTGTCCCCAGGAGCACACTGGTAGCCTCATTCCCTCAGGGTTCCTGTCTCCTCTGGCCACTTCCCCTCACCCCACTTGCTCCTTGCCCTATGTCTTCATGGGGCGTTTTCTTCCATCTTCTTTGTATTAAGAAGCCCAGAGGCTTTTTTGACTGATTTGATTCTGTACCAGCTACAGCCAACTTGGAAAAAGCAGAGACATTGTCAGATTTTCTTTCAATATTCCCCAACCAGTGACTAATTCAGCAGTCAGTTATGAGCGGATTTTGTTTTTTTGTTTTTAACCTCAGGGCCCTTAGGGGATGGCAGACTCTTTCTAGAGAGCTGCAGAGAGTTGCCTGCCTGCTGGTGCCTTTAGAAATGCAGATGAAGCTGTAGTTGCTCACAAAGGTGTGGGGGGGGTTGTTTGTTTTTAAGAATTCATTTACTTTTAGAGAGAGAGGGGGTAAGGGAGGGAGAGAGGGAGAGAAACATCAATTGATGTGAGGTCTCTTGCACACCCCTAACCAGGGATCTGGCCTGCAACCCAGGCGTGTGCCCTGGCTGTGAATCGAACCAATGATCCTTGGGTTTGAAGGCTGGCGCTCAGTCCACTGAGCCACACCAGCCAGGACCACAGAGAGAAGTGTTATCTTTAATGTCCTGGCTTGAGCTCCAGCCTGAGAACCAAAAGGTCGCCCATTTGATTCCCAGTCAGGGCACATGCCTGGATTGTGGGCCAGGTCCCTGGTTGGGGGTGTGTGAGAGACCTCACATCAATTGATGTTTCTCTCCCTCTCTTTCTCCCTTCCTTACTCTCTCTCTACAATGAATATATAAAATTTCAAAAAGTAAAATGTCGTCTTTAAGAAACTTCACAAGAAGTAGGATGGGCACCATTTTTTTATCTTGGCAAATCAGTTATTTCGATAAAAGCAGATGCTATTGTAATGTCTTCCTTCCTGTTTGTCTGTTGCGATAATGAAGTTGCACACGTTCCAAAGGCAGCTTTTTTTGTCCTGGGAACAAGCACGAGGGGATTAAGAGTGTAATTTGGGGTACCACTGTCCCTGTAGGAAGAACAGGTTGCCTGTGGCAGTCAGCTGCCTAGGAGGGACTAATCAGTGAGAAGAAGACAGTTAGTTTCAGAGCCACACATGGGTTGGGGCAAATCTTAGAAAAAGTGTTTGATTCCAGGCCAAGACTTGGAGGGAGGTAAATGTGGGGACATTTAAGATCAGCCAGCAAGGCCTCAAGTCTACCCTGTGAGTGCATTTCAGGTGGCTTTCCAGGGGAGCTGCCTGCATCGCCGATGAATGCCACTCTCGTTTGGCAGTCCTGACATGGTACCATCTTTGTAATGAGAGGGAAGTGGGCCAGCAAATGGGCAGCACTGGCCTCTGTGCTTAGAACCATGCTCCTGGCATTTGCTGCTCCTGGCATAGCATACCATGCATCAGGGCCACTTCTGGAAGGTGCAAGAGCTGAAATCAGGAAATTCTGCCAGTGAGCTGCCTGCAGGAAGAGTGTCCCAGGATGCTGGCACCAGCCCTCACCTGTGGCACGGTATCGTGATGTGGCCTGGGCTTGGGTGGTCCTCAGATGGGCATGTTGGCCTCTTGTTGCAGACCTACAGCCAGCTAGCCCACCCCATCCAGCAGGCCAAGGCACTAGGCCTCCAGTTCCACTCCCGTATCTTGGACATTGACAATGTCGACGTAAGTGCTTCTTCCCGAATGGGCTGGAAGGACCCTGGGGTTGGGAATGTGAATTGATGAGGAGTGAGCTCCCCATCCCTGGAGGACTTCCAGCACAGGTGGGCATTTTGATTAAATGACCTCAAGGGTCCATTGCAGTGAAAGGTTTCCATAGTCCTATGGTTGGAATATTCTTAGGCTAGTGGTGGGCCTAGGGGATGTTGCACTCAGACCTCAGGGTCCCCGAGGGTCCCCCAAGGTGTTGATGTGCATGCACCTTCTCTGGGGAGTATGGGGTTTTGTCAGGACTGCTGAGGCTGTTGCTCTGCCAGTCGTTCTGCTTTCCTCTGTTTGGGGCTGAAGGCATGCCAGTGCCACCTTTCTTTTCCCACCTGTGTGCCAGGTGCCCGACTCTGAAGTCTTGAAGCCCCACATGGCCCCTAGTCTAGGAACCAAGGCTGCCAGGGTGTTGGGAGCCCACATGGGTTCTCAGCAATTCAGAATGCATCTCCTCGTAGTGGAGGGCTTGGACTGGTGCATGGGGAGAGTCTCCTGGGAAATCCCTGCATGGAAACAGGCCAGCAGGAGGTGACACCTGTGGGGGACTGATTGGGGTGGATCCTCAGGGTCCCTCTAGGGGGATGAGTCAAGATGTTGAGGTGCTGGGGCTCCCTCCTGGTAGCACCCCAGGAAGCAGGGTGGGGGATTGGGTCTCCACATCAGGGGGAGCAGCAGGGGACTGTTCTATGCCACCCGCCTTGTTGGCTCCCCCCACAGTTGGCCATGGGCAAGATGATGGAGCAGGGGCCTGTGCTGATCGTCACTTTCCACGCCCAGCTGGTTATGGTGATCAAAAACCCTAAAGGCGAAGTGGTCGAGGGCGACCCGGTGAGTGAGGGAAGGGATGAGGTAGGCAGGTGGCCAGCCTAGGACCAGCTGAATAGCAGTGGCCAGCCACCTTGCACAGGTGGCAGTTCAGAGCCAGCAGGTTCTGTGACTGGGAGGGAACAGCAGGGTGGTACCTTGAGAAGCCCCAGGGTCTGTATCGGGCCTGGTAGAGGTCAGAAGGTGACTGACCTGTCCAGTTTCACCAAAGCCCAACTTGGAGCCTCTGCTCTGGACTCCAGGCCCAGGTTGACACCCAAACACTCCTCCGCCTGGCAGCCTCATCCCGCTGTGCCTCTCTCTGTCCTGGGCCCATCCCCATCCCCACTCTTGCAGGACAAGGTGCTACGCATGCTGTATGTGTGGGCACTATGCCGGGACCAGGATGAGCTCAACCCCTACGCGGCCTGGCGGCTTCTGGACATCTCTGCTTCCAGCACAGAGCAGGTCCTTTGAGCTCAGCGGCCACAACGGGGACACCAAGCTGTATCATGCAGGGCAGCTGCCCAGCGTGGGACCGATGTGCACCTGTGGCAAAAGACCTGTGGAGACAACACTGTGGACTCTGGTCCATTCTGCCATAGTGGCTGCAAAACCAGCTGGGCAGGGAAGGACCAGGGACTGTGGAGGGCTGCTTCTCACAGTGCCAGCCTGTGTACCACCCTGTGCTGCACAGGGGCTGCTAGTAGGCAAGGCACACAGGCGAGACAGTGCCAAGAGGACCTGGCCCAGAAATGACTCTGGGGATGAGGTGGTGGGGCCCACTGGCCACATCAGCCAGGCTGCTTTAGCTCTATTTTAAAAAAAAACATTAACAGTGTTCTTATTACCCTGTGTGTATGCCTGAGATTTGGAAGTAGTAATAAAACACCAAAGGGCAAGAGAGCAACTTGGGTGATCTGAGTTGTCTGTCACTGGGGCGGCTGTGCGTGCCAGGTCAGTAAAGGAACTGGGGACCTAGTGGGGCGCCTTGTCTGGTTGGGACCTTGTTACCCCTCGGAGTGAAAGGACACCAGTGACAAGGAAAGCTAGGGATGGTGGGATCGCTGATGGATGGGGTTCCCTCAGGGGTGTGGGAGCTTGAGTGGCCATGAGTAGTACTGAGGGTGGCACGGGATTCCCCAAACGGGGAGCCTGGGTGAAGGTTCCAACATGAAGAAGGGGGTACAGGAGCTAACAACTGGGTGGAGGCATTTGGGGTGCTTGGGACGGTGGGGTCCTAGGTGCCTGTAGATCCGCTAGGCCTGGGCACCGTGATCCCGAAGCCGGGGCGAGGTCGCTGCCGAGCAAGCTCCCGGCGCAGCCTCCGCCCCCAATTCCCGCCACCGCCCCGCCCCCGTTGCTATGGAAACAGCCGCGGCGGCGCCGCCGGTTTGCTCGCGCCTCGCCCGCCTCGGTCTCTGCTGCTTCCAGGGGCGGGTGGGGTGGGCTGAGCACCGGCTGCCTCCACTGTCTCCACCACCGGGAGAGGCCGAGAGCGGAGCCGGCACGGGTCCCAGAGGAGAGCGCGGCTGCTGGGCGCTTGGTTCCCATCGCGGTCGAGGCCAGGGTGAGGGGAACTGCAGGGATGGTGGGGGAAGGGGTCTCTGGGACGCAGAGAACAAAGACTGCGGGGTAGGGGCCGGGCCAGACCCCGCTGCGCACCCGGGCAGGACAGTCGCACCTGTTGTGTGCTGGCCAGCCCAGTCGGAGCTCCGTCTCCCAGCTTTCAGCACCCCAGCCTGCGCGGAGTTGGGTCCCCGCGTGGCGGTCGCGGCGTGTCTACGGGCGGGGGCATGGGCGTTGCCCGGAGACCAGAGGGGGAACAGGCAAGGTCGAAGGCCACGTGGGAAGGCAGAAGAACCTCATTCCCGTGCCCCGGGCCGGGCCGACCCCTTGTCCACAGGGCATGCGGCGATGTGAGCCATGAGCACCACCTGGACGCTGTCCCCCGAGCCGTTGCCACCATCGACGGGGCCCCCCGCCGGAGCGGGCCTGGATGCAGAGCAGCGCACGGTGTTCGCCTTCGTTCTCTGCTTGCTTGTGGTGCTGGTGCTGCTGATGGTGCGCTGCGTGCGCATCCTACTCGACCCCTACAGCCGCATGCCCGCCTCCTCCTGGACCGACCACAAGGAGGCGCTCGAGCGTGGGCAGTTCGACTACGCGTTGGTGTGAGCCAGGCACCCCCGGGTGGCCCTCCACTGAACAGGGGTGCCGGCGGGCCCGGACTGCCCTCAGGATCCCACCCCAGAGCTCAACTCCAGGGTGGGGCCTAAGAAGTCCAGCCCGCCCCGCCCAGGCTCTTCCCATCCTCAGGCCTCTCCTGTCACCTCTCCTGGCCAGCCCGAGCCCCACTTTGTGCCTTTATCTCTCCCTGTCCTGGCCCCCCAAATTAACCAAGCCCGCATCGTGTAGGTGGCTTTGTTATTGTCCCGCCGCCAGCATGAGTGGTCTGTCAGTTTCTGGATGCGGAGGCTCTGTCTCCTTCCCCTCCCATCTGACCATCCCCACGACATCCCCGCTGAGTGTTGAGCCCCCGCGTGGGCTCCCTCCTGGCCCCACGGGGTGGATGTTGCACGCCAATATGCCCCACGCAGGCCGCCCTGGGACCTAGCCTGAAGAGTAACAACGGCTGCTGTGTCCAGGATGCGTGGCGCCTTCCATGGGGGGAAAACGCGGGCAGCCTCACTCCCGCCCAGGGCTCAAGCCTCAAGTCCAGATCGGCACACCCCTCCCTCAGTCACCACTTCCCCTATGCCAGTCACTGGCCACCCTGCCCCCTCCCCGAGTCCTCCTCCCACACCCCCAAACCCTCCCCCACCCTCCCCATGCCTTCTCACTCCTACCTGCCTGAGCTGATGGTGATAATAAAAGCTGTTGTTGAGCGCTTACTTGAGCGAGATGAGTTAGCGCCTTTCTGACCAGTGCTGTGAAGACCCAGGCCCACACTTTGGGGAACAGATGTGTAACCACCTCAATTCCCTCAGCTCCAGGCTCTTTCCTGTGACCCTCCTCTTTCTGTGACCTGGGGAGACTCTGGGGGTTGTGAAATGGACTTAGCCGAGTGGGGAGTTCGGGTTTTGTGCCCTCAGCCAGCCCTGGAGCATGGCCTCCTGCTGTGATGATCACATCTTCAGCCCCAAACCCTTCTGACCCTGCCTCGTCCCTTCTTCCCACCAGTCCCTTCTTCCCACCATCGTTGCATGGGTCTGGTGGGGGCAGGGTATGATCATGGAGTGGGCTGGCCCCCACTCCACAGCGGGTGTTGTGCACTCTGGAGGAGCTGTGTGCAATGCATGTGTGGAGAAGTGCGAGTTTCTATAAAAAGAAGGCTGAGTGAACGCACACTTGGAATACATTTTAGCAGCTCTCAGGAGTAGGTAGTCCTGGGGGAATGCCATTCCAAGGACACCTGGTTCCTGCCCCACCCTCCCAACCTGCCTCCCCTCCACACCCTCAGAAATTGGTGGAGGGGAGACCCCTTGAAAGGAAATCTAATGGCATCTCCAAGAATTCAGGCTGCTGTCTCCACCAGGAGAGGCTGAGAGCGGAGCCGGCACGGGTCCCAGAGGAGAGCGCAGCTGCTGGGCGCTTGCTCAGAAAACCTTTGACACAAGCAGCTGGGACTACTGTTCCCTCCTTTACCCAGTTCTGCTCCTCCTTCTCCCCTTGCTTCCACACGTCTGCCTTAGAGACCCTTTCTAACCTGCAATATCTGACAACCCACCGCTAACACTTAGCACCCCCAGCTTTGGACTTGGCTCCTGGCTGCCCTGTTGGGAAACCAGAATATGAAAAGTTTACTAAGGGAACTTCAGACAGAAGTGAGGTCACATGAAAAGGGGAAAGAAGGCATGATATAAATAGCCAAGTGCCAACAGGCCCACTTGTCTATGCAAGTGAGGCAGGAGGTAGTCAGGAAGGAAGCTCCCCAGGCCCCACAGGGCTGAGGTAGAAAACACCTATACATGACAAAGACCCCCTAAGACGGGTTGTTCCTGTTTTCTGGGACAACTTTGAATCATAGAATGCGCCTGTGCGCTACCCCTGATTCATTATAATATTATTATAATGAAATAACATTGTGGGACTCCCTTCTCCAGTAGCCAATCAAGAAAGTCATGGGAAACCACGCATGCGCAGTAGCTTTGAAATCCAACTCCTTGTACCTGCGCAGGAAAAGCCCGCCAAAGACTAGCAGGGGGCTTCTGCCTCTATAAGAATAGAATCCCCCCAGCCCACGTGCCCTTTTTTCTCCTCTGCTCAGAGCTGGCTCACTCCCGTGTCCTGTGGTGTGTACTATCACTTAATAAACCTCCCCTCTTTCTTTATGCTATAAACTTTGTGTGTTCGGTTCAATTCTTTGTCCTCGATCACTAAGAACCTGGTTACCTGTGCACACCTGTGCACACCTGTGACAGTTTTTTGGCGAGCCAGCCAGGAGAAGACACCGGAGTGGTAAGCCCCCTTTGCTGCTCTGACACCCGGGATGCCCTTTTCCGTTATCACCTATTCTGTTTCAGTGACTCTGATGTTCTGTGACGGAAGGTCGGCCGCTAATTTGCGGGCACAGGTCGGGCAGTTAAAAGCCACAAGGGCACCCGCCGCTTGAAGACTCCTGTGATAGGATAACTTGGATGCGGAACGGGGTTAGCCTTAGTCCCCGCCAGGTACAAGAAAATGTCCGCACAACGGTCAGGCACACTGTGGAAAGCACAAAACACTGCCCCACCCCCGCGGCCACTCCCCCAGTAGGCATAGTCGGACCTTCCAAGCGGGATATCAGTCACCACCTCACCTGCACTGTGACTTCCTTTTGCATTCTTTTCATCGGGCCCACGGACAGTCTTTTATGCTTTTCCTCCCCAACTGACTTCTGACCTTTATACCTTCACTCACACCCCACTTGCCTTTTATGTATGAAGGGTTCCTGCTGTCTTTGTACTAAGATATCTACCTTGGGGTCATTGTTAGGCTAGCACTAAGTACAGTTGCAGGAATGAGCCACTCCCATCTTTGCCACGTGTATACTATCATTGTAAGCAGCAACATCGCTCAGAACTGCACAACAGGTACCTGCTGGTCGCTGGTTATTAGAATGGCTGCATAGAGCCACTTTTACCTAATTAATTGAATTTGGAATTCTAAGGTGGTTTACTTGTTTCTATAAGGGTATTTTAATTTCCCCTCTCAGTTCATTGTCCCTCCATGAAATACGCCTCCAGTATGAAGGGTGGTGATTTAGACATTGCTTGAGGTCCCTTCTGGGAGATTTCAGACGCAGGCACAATTTCTTAAAGCTCTGGAAAATTACATAGAATATTTAAGGGTCTTCTTTGTGATCTGGAAAGGAGTCATTTTATAATAAGATCATCTTGGTGCTCCTCTTAATGGTTTACAGGGCCAGAAATTATTTTTCTAGTAAGACACTTCCTTTTCCCCAGATATTAAAGCTTACAGGAAAATGAGGGTCCCCGTAGATAAAGAATACAGAAATGGAAATGTACTAGGGCCACAAGGATAGAGTCTGGGATTTTCAGGATTATAGGCAATTGCTCAAGAATGCAGGACTGGTTCCTTCCCAATAGTTAAAGACAAAAGTAGACTGTGGTAATTCTCTCAAGTCTTTTCGATTTCTGTCGGCCGACACTCACTAGGATTTCTTTCGCCAGAGACGTCTGGTAGTTCGGTGGGATCCCAGGGGACGCCCTGTGGCCCACTAGGAAGCTCCTGAGGCAAGAAAAAGGGGGGACGCCTCTCGATTGCAAGGGAGTATCTTTCTCACTAGAATCTCTTTCGCCAGAGACGTCTGGTAGTTCGGTGGGATCCCAGGGGACGCCCATGGCCCACTAGGAATCTCCTAAGGGCAGCAAAGAGAGGGACGCCTCTAGTCTGCAAAGGAGTATCTTT